CACACACACACGCTGGAGGACAGTTGCGATTTTACTTTCTACCAGAAGCATGATTCTGTTTCAGCTCAAACCAGAACACACTCTCAAACATGCGTGCACACACACTGCACATCTGTACATGCAAACACCGACATGCACACACACACACAGACAGACAAATACACTCGCATATTTACACTCACATGTACATACACACATATGCATATGCAAACACATGCACATACACCACACAAACACACACAAACAGGCATGCATAAGCACACACTGTACAAACACAGAGACACAAACACGTGCAGGCGCAGAGAAACAATTCAATTCAATTCAATTCAGCTTTATTTGTATAGCGCTTTTACAATGTCGATTGTGTCAAAGCAGCTTCACATAAATGCTCATAGTAACTGGAACAGTGTGGTTCAGGTTTTAGTGTTTAAGTTCAGTTCAGTTCAGTTTAGCTCAGTTCAGTGTGATTTGCTCAGTTCAGCACGTTTGTTTGAAACACAAACACACACACACTTGAGCTTCATGTGTGAATGTGTGTTTAAACTTAGTGTCATTCACTAAAACAACATGCCTTAATGGATGTGTTTGACCTGCTGTGTGTGTGTGTGTGTGTGTGTGTGTGTGTTTCAGATATCGACGAGTGTGTGCTGTTCCCCAGTGTGTGTGTGGAACCGTCCAAATGCATCAACGCTCCGGGGACATTCGAGTGCCGCTGTCAGCTGGGATACACTTACAACATGAGCTCACACACGTGTGTCGGTGAGACACACACACACACACAGAGACCCAAACACACACTCAGACACAGATCCAAACACACACACACACACACTCGGACACAGATCCAAACACACACAAACACACACACAGAGACCCAAACACGTACTCAGACACATAAAGACACACACACACTCATACACACAGACCCAAACACACACTCGGACACAGATCCAAACACACACACACACACAAAGAGGGAGACAAACACAGACTTAAAAAGAGAGAGTGAGACAAACACACACACACACACACACACACACACACACACACACACACAAGAGCACGATCACAACTGGAGAATATCACGATCAATAATACACATGTCATCAAATGTGTGTGTGCGCACGTGCCGTGTGTGCGTGCAAGTGTGTTTCTTTTTCTGTGCGTGTTTGTCTCTATCTTTCATTTTGTGTGTGTGTGTGTTTGTGTGAGTGTGTGAGTGTGTGTGTGAGTGTGTGTAGTGTTCAGTTGTGTGTTATCAGTGGCTGCTGTTTATTAATGATGTCCTGTAAGAGTCGTGTCCTCTGTCTGTTCTGTCACACCTGATGGGGATTATTCCCACACTCATGTTTTATTCACCGCTATCATTACAAAGAAAATAATCAAGTGTGTGTGTGTGTGTGTGTGTGTGTGTGTGTGTGTGTGTGTGTGTGTGTGTGAGATGTGGACGAGTGTTTGGAGGACGCGTGTGCTGGCGAGTGTGTGAACGCGGTGGGCAGTTTCTCCTGTCAGTGTGACGGGCGCAGGGGTCTTCAGCTGGATGAGGACGGTCTCGGCTGCGTCTCAATCCCCCAGTGTCTGCAACTGTACGATCACAAACACAAGGAGATGCTGTACCTGGGGGAGCAGTTCAGCGGTCTGCCCGTCATCTACCTGCGCTTCAGACTGCAGCCGCACACCAGGTCTCACACACACACACACACACACACACACACACACACACACACACACTTGTACACTACGGCCAGTTTAGTTGATCAATTTCCCTATAGCGCATGTGTTTAGCCTCGAACCAGTGACCTTCTTGCTGTGAGGTGATTGTGCTACCCACTGCGCCACCGTGCTGCTCATATTTTTGATATGACTGTTATTATTAATGTATTTGTTTCCATCATGCAGGTTTGCGGCTGAGTTTGATTTCCGCACGTTTGACCCAGAAGGCGTGATTCTGTACGCCGAGTCGTCACCCGACTCCTGGATCATGCTGGGTTTGCGGAGCGGACGAATCGAAGTCCAGTTTAAGAACGAACACTCCATTAAGATGACCAGCGGAGGGAAAGCCATCAATGACGGACAGTGGCACGTGGTGCGTTCACAACACCACACGAACTATCCAGCCTCCTGCGAAATAATTCTTCACATATTCCCCAAATGATGTTGAGCAGATTCAGGAATTTTTCACAGTATTTCAAGGTCAATATTATTAGTATGGAGTTAATCTAGAGCCATATATACTTCCAAATAAAAGAAAGTTTTTGAAAATAAAAATAAAGTATTGAGCAAAAAATAAATGCAAATCTCCAAAAATCGCAAAGCAAAAATGTATTTTTGAGAAATTAAAAATGTATTTTGCTAATAACAATAAAGAATTACAAAAAGTAAATTAAGTTTTGAGAAATAAAAATGAAATTTGAAAAAAACAAAAAAGCTGCAAATAAAAACCAAGCAGTGCAAAAAAACTTAAATATTTGCAATAAAAAAAAATAATAAAAAAAAAAATATATATATATATATTTGCAAAACTCTTTTATAGCATTGCCTTTAAAAACCCGTCCAGTCAATTGCAATGCTCATTTTGATTTGTGAGTTAGCGATGCTGTTTTCTCTTTGCACTCATGTTTCTGTGTGTTTAACTTTGTGGCCCTAAAAAGGGGGCGGAGTCAAGGGAACTTGGAGATTATTTTACGGCAGGGCCTGCTATAAATGCCCAAGTTCTCTTGTAATATTAGTTTTTGTAAAGGCAATGCTATAAAGTTTTCCAAAGTATATAGTTTTTTTTTATTTGCCAAATTTATTTTTATTTCTCAACTTTTTTTACCCTTTGCGATTTATTTTTATTTATTTATTATTATTTTTTTTAAATTTATCTATTTATTTTTGGCTCAATACATTATATTTTGTTTGCAAAACTTTCTTTTATTTTGCAAATATATGTGATTGACTCCATATATTAACCCACTTAAAGCTGCTGTATGTGAGTGTTTGACTCTTCTGCATCATAAAAACAGCATCATATGTTTGCAGATATGTCAGAAACATGCTCAGTGAACATTCTTGATTATCTGAGAAACAATGCTGAAGTCAGATATTCTGCTGTGGACGTGTGTTACGTGCTGGAGCGGCTGTCTTTGTTTTAGTCTCTTTAACCCGCCCAATGCCAATTCAGCCAATCATATTTCAGCAGCCGGGTTGCCAGATGGTGGAGAACAGCGTATTTCATTCATTCAGTCTGAAAGACTCTCAAAGCATGGGTCTGTGACTGAAATGTGACCTCTGGTGGACTGTAGCAGACTCTGAAATGAGATGCAGATTCAGAGTTCCACATGAGGTTATTAATTAGCGAATATTATAAATATTAGGAGTTTAAACATTAGGTGAGCAGGTCACCTAATTAACCTAGTGAAGCCTTTGCATGTCTCTTTAGGCTGTATAGAAGTGTCTTGAAGAATATCTAGTCTAATATTATTTACTGTCATCATGACAAAGAGAAAATAAATCAGTTATTAGAGATGAGTTATTAACACTGTTATGATTAGAGATGTGTTGAAGAAATCAGCTCTTTTAAACAGAAATTAGGGATAAAATATGAAATAATTCAAATGTAACAGGATAGTGAAATATTCAAGCTGAAATAAAACTAATCAGACTCCAGAAGAAAATCTATTAGAGGAAATACTGTGAAAAGTTCCTGAATCTGTTAAAATCACTTTGGAAAACATTTGAAAAAGAATCAATATTGCTGAGGAGAGCGAATCATTTTGTCCTCTCTGTTTTTAAATGAATGAATTAATACTGCAGGGCGGTTATGATAACCAGCAGTGCGTTATTGTCCAGTAAATGAACAGTCGGTGATTAGTGAACGTGTGTGTGCAGATCTCAGTGGAGGAGCTGTCGGGCAGCATCAGTGTGAAGATCAGTAAAGAGGCTGTGATGAGCATCAACAGTCCTGAGCGTCTCTTTACTCCCGTTAATGACAAGCTGGAGACTAAAGTGTACATCGCCGGCCTGCCCAACCACAACCAGAGCCTCATCAAAACGGTGACGCATTCAGCACACACACACACACACACACACACACACACACACACACACACACACACACACACACACACACGGGGTCGGAGCACCAGTGTTTTAACTGACACATTTCTGATGATGTGTTGAACTTGTGTTTCAGATCAACCCTCGGCTGGACGGCTGCATCCGCGGCTGGAACCTCATGAACCAGGGAGCGTCCGGGGTGAAGGAGGTCATCCAGGAGAAGGAGAGCAAACACTGCTATGTGCATGTGGAGAAGGGCTCGTTCTTCAGCGGAGGAGGACACGCGCTCTTCAACATCGACTACAGTCAGTGCACACACACACACACACACACACACACACATATAAGTGCACACACAAATACACTTGCACATGGACACACTTATACATGCATGCATGCATGTGCACACACACACACACACACACACAAACATGCAAATGTACACACTCATATATCAGCACACACATGCATATGGACACACACATATGCACATGAACATATATACGCACACACAAACATAAGCACATGGATACATACACGTACACATATACGCACACACACATGCACTTGGAAACGCATATGAACACACACACAAGCGTACACTAACACACATGGACACACATTTATACACACACATGCAAGTGGACAACCGCATATATGTGCGCACACACTTACATATACACACACGCACACAAACAAACACACATGCACATGGACACATACGTGCACATACAAACACATGGATATATACGTACACACACACACACACACATACATATACGTGCCCACACAAACACATGCACATGGACACACATATTCTCGCACAAACACACACATATACACAGACAAATGCACACATATGGACACACACACTGTATATTTACACCAACACACAAAAACATGCACATGGACACACACACACATATATAAGCGCACACACACAAACACACACCTGCACATGGACACAAACTTATATGGACACACACACAAACACACACATGCTCATGGACACACACAAACACACACCCATGTACACGCACACACAAAGGCACAGACACATGCATATACTGTAGGCACACACACTCACATGCACATGGAAACACACATACGCATACACACAAACACGCACATGGTCACAAACACACACACACACACACAAGTACATGCACAGACTTTCTTTAAAGGGCACCTTTAAGTAACTGTGTGTGTATGCAGGTGAGTTACCTGTCCTGTGTGTGTGCGTGTTTGTGCGTGTGTTTGTGTGTGTGTGTTTGTGTGTGTGTGCGCGTGCGTGTGTGCATGTGTTTGTGTGTGTGTGTGTGTGTGTTTGTGTGTGTGTGTGTGCGCAGGTGTTTCAGGTCAGTGGAAGCTGGATGTGGTGATGAGTCTGCGTCCGTCCAGCACCACAGGGGTGATCTTGGCTCTGGTCTCCAACAACACCGTCCCGCTGCTGGTGGCCGTGGTCTCCCTAGGGCCGGATGATGCTGTAAGTGTGTGTGTGTGTGTGTGTGTGTGTGTGTGTGTGTGTGTGTGTGTGTGTGTGTATGCGTGTGTAACTGTGTGTTTCTGTGTGTGTGTGTGTGTCAGGAGCTGCAGGTGCTGCTGGACGGTGTGTGTGTAGCGACGCTGCAGTCTCTGATGCTCTGTTATCCTGATCGTCTGGTTGTGGAGCTCAGAGCTTCAGCCGAGGGGCTCCAGATCTCCGCGAACTCCTCCAGCGTGTCTTACAGCGAGCCGCAGACTCTGAGCGCCGCCCTGCACAAGCTGGATACAGCCATGCACACACAACCGCAGACGTACATCGGTGGACTGCCAGGTCAGACAACCACACACTCCGAGTCTGTATGGTAATGCGCTTCTGACTGGAACTGAATATTGAGTAGGGGGCGGGGCTTTCTTTATACCCATCATACCACTGTAAATGAATGGTTAGGAAGGCGTGGCAAAGGATATTATATACAGTTGCTATGGAAGTCCTCAAGTTGACTTCACTTAATATCTGTTGGTATAATTTTGGAGTGACTTATATATTCATTAATTTAACAGCAGTGTGAATAATGAATTGTGTGTGTGTGTGTGTGTGTGTGTGTGTGTTCAGATCTGCCGCTGTCCATCACACCAGTCTCCGCCTTCTATCACGGTTGTCTGGAGCTCGTTATTGGTGGTCGGCAGCTGGATTTTGATGAAGCCGTCAGTAAAGACAACAGCATCAAATCTCACTCCTGCCCTCCGTACTCCATTACCCAATCTCCATCTGCACCATGAGCAGGAAGTGACATCACTGGAGAGGAGGAGTGTATTTTAACTGATCCGCTCATCACACTGCAACAAATGCCTTTATTATTTAGAGTTTGTGTCTGGTTTCTAGTCCAAATATGTTTGCTTGTGATGAAAATGCTTCTTGATTTTAAGAGATTTTGACATTTGGACTGGAAACTCTACTTACGGAAGCATTTCTGCAGTGTGTTGACTGGAGACTAGCCTGTGGAGCCTTCATTTACACACCATCAGTGTTCATACTGTTCCTCACGTCTGATTTTAGTCAGGTTTTTACACTAAACTGTGCGTATAGAGCCGTGTCTTGTATATAACACTCTGATTTTAAAGTGCTGTGAATATGATGAGCAGTGATTGAACAATAGTGTTACTGTAATTGTTTTAATAAAACCTTAAAATTCAGATTGTTGTCATTGTGGAGATTGAAATCTCAGCATCCTTAATACGCTAAATCCAGACATAAATAAGAATGACTACCTCTTTAATTAACATTTATATAAACTGTAAATAATCACAAAGACAGGGAAACATCAGGAAAAAAACATAAGACATAATTATTTTATTATACACTCAGCGGCCACTTTATTAGGTACACATTACTAGTCCCAGGTTGGACCCCTTTTGTCTTCAGATCTGTCTTAATCCTTGGTGTCAGAGATTCAACAAGCTGCTGAAAATATTCCTCAGAGATTTTGCTCCATGATAGCATCACACAGTTGCTGCAGATTTGTCGGCTGCACATCCATGATGCCAATCTCCCGTTCCACCACATCCCAAAGCTGCTCTATTGGATTGAGCTCTGGTGACTGTGGAGGCCATTTGAGTACAGTGAACTCATCGTCATGTTCAAGACACCAGTCTGAGATGATTGAGCTTTATGACATGCTGCGTTATCCTGCTGGAAGTAGCCATCAGAAGATGGAGACACTGTGCTCATAAAGGGATGGACATGGTCAGCAGCAATACTCAGGTAGGCTGTGGCGTTGATGCTCAATTGGTACTAATGGACCCAAAGAAAATCTCCCCCACACCATTACACCACCACCACCAGCCTGAACCGCTGATACAAGGCAGGATGATCCATGCTTTCATGTTGTTGAGGCCAAATTGTGAGCCGAGCATCTGAATGTGTCAGCAGAAATGGAGACTCATCAGAGCAGCAACGTTTCTCCAATCTTCTATTGTCCAGTTTTGGTGAGTCTGTGTGAATTGTAGCCTCAGTTTCCTGTTCTTAGCTGACAGGAGCGGCACCCGGTGTGCTCTTCTGCTGCTGTAGCCCATGCGCCTCAAGGTTGGACGTGTTGTGTGTTCAGAGATGCTCTTCTGCAGAGCTCGGTTGTAGCGAGTGCTTATTTGAGTTACTGTTGCCTTTCTATCAGCTGGAACCAGTCTGGCCATTCTCCTCTGACCTCTGGCCTCATCAACAAGGCATTTGCGCACACAGAACTGCCGCTCACTGGATATTTCCTCTTTGTCGGAGCATTCTCTGTAAACCCTAGAGATGGTTGTGTGTGAAAATCCCAGTAGATCAGCAGTTTCTGAAATACTCAGAGCAGCCCGTCTGGCAGCAACAACCATGCCACGTTCAAAGTCACTTAAATCCCCTTTCTTCCCCATTCTGATGCTCGCTCTGAACTGCAGCAGATCCTCTCTGATGTCATGATGTCTCCATGTCATAACTATAGTAAAGACGTTGACAGTATTTATTCATCTTTTTTAATGATAATAAACTAATAATTAATAGAACTAATAGAATACAATATTTAGTTTATGAACTATAATATACTTTTTGTTATTTCATGTTTGATTGTACATTAGCTAAAGTGAATAAATGCTCTATCACCACTTGTCATTGTTGGTTGATGTTCACTAATGTTGAAGAGTATTGTTATATTTTATTGTTTATAATTTCTATATTTTTCCAGTGAAGCTTATTCTTTTGTGTGCATATTATTTGGCATATAATCTTGATGTTTTATAATGTGAAATGCCAGTGGAGGAATCATTGTGAAAGCGCTGTACAAGTCAACATTAGTTACACACTAATAACAGAAGAGGCTGATGGCTGTTCATAGAAAATCTAGGCAGGAAAATTTCCACATAAGTCTTGTTCGTTTGTGTGTGTGTGTGTTTATGGGTTTGTTTGTCTATGTGTGTGCGTGTGTGAAAGAGAGAATCTGTGTGTGTTTGTCTATTTGTGTGTGAGAGAGTGTACAGTGTGTATGTGTGTGTTTGTAGGCATGTATGCATTAGGTCTGTGTGTTTGTAAGTTTTATAGTGAGTGTGGGTGTGTGTATTAAGTGTGTGTTTGTGTATGTGCGTGTGTTGATGCTTCTGACCTGAGCTTCAGTGTGTTTTTCAGCTGGACAGGAGGAGTGACCTGACCTCAGAGAAACAGACGGGAAAGAGGAGGAGAAGGAAAACACTGGCTCAGAAAAACAACAGCAGAGAGAGAGAGAGAGAGAGACTGAGGAAAACAGCTGCAGAGGAAGAATGTAACCTCACATCTGTGTGTGTGTGTGTGTGTGTGTGTGTGTGTGTGTGTGTGTGTGTGTGTGTGTGTTAGAGGGAGAGAGAAATATCAGCGTTTGATCAACAAGCAGAGCAGATTTGATTGAAACAGACTTTAATGAAGAACTCACTAGTGGACATTTACACTTGAGTTTCCTTGAGTTATTGTAGACTACAGTATTGCCTACATTTGTTTATAGTATTGTAGTTGTTACCATAGCAACTGTAGAATCACCACAGCAGATCAATTACTGTAGTTGTTGTGTTACCATAGCAACAATAGAATCACCACAACAGATCAAGTACTATAGTTGTGTTGCCATAGCAACTGTAGAATCACCACAGTAAATCAGTTACTGTAGTTGTTGTGTTACCATAGCAACTGTAGAATCACCACAGTAGATCAATTGCTGTAGTTGTTGTGTTACCATAGAAACAATAGAATCACCACAACAGATCAAGTACTATAGTTTTGTTGCCATAGCAACTGTAGAATCACCACAATAGATCAATTACTGTAGTTGTTACCATAGCAACTGTAGAATCACCACAACAAATTAATTACTGAAGTCGTTGTTACCATAGCAACCATAGAATCACCACACCAATTTAATTCAAGTGCTTTACCATAGTATGGTTCAACAGTATTATAGTATGTAGTGGAAATGACTGTAGTATTTTTCAAGACCGAGAGCAGACTTTAAACATGAAGGAACAGTAACATGTTAAACTCTCTGGAATTTATCGAGATCTTACATCATTCTCCTTGATTTTACATAAACATTTTATTTTTGCTGGTTATGTGAATATTAGGAGAACGCTGCCTTTTATTATGTTGCTAACATTATTCAACATTATTACTTTTTGAATGTTCTCTTAAAACTAGACCCTTCTAAAACTGTGTAGATGAGCTTCTAGCTGACAAATCTCTATAATGTTTATTCAAACTCCTCCTCTTCAGACAGAATGCAATTTCAGACACGCCCAAAATTCCTTGTAGAAGTTTTCTTATTCGAATGTTTGTTCATAATATAGACCAAAATCTGTGAACGAAGACTGGTGAATTTATATTCTTTCATGATGCAGTTACAGAGCGGAAGTTGCTGAGGATTATATTTCAGTATGATAATAAACCTCCAACTGAAACTGAATATTGAGTAGGGGGCGGGGCATCATTTGTGCATCATTCTCTCATAGCAAACTAAGGGGCGTGGTTAAGCAGACTGTGGCTGAAGCATCACCAGAAGAGCCAATCCAAACACAGAAGCAGATGCTCAGACTGAAGATTGCAAAAAATTAATAAAACGGCTCGATAAACTTGAACAACTCAATAATTGACATAAAGAATACACCAGCAAAATAACCACTGTAAATTATGATTCTACATCACCTTTCATTATGAGACTCTCAAACAGCCCCAGTCCCCTTGCACGGTCATTGTAGAGTGCGGAGCAGCTGGAACATTCTGCTGAGCTTCTGCTTTTGTGCTCCACCAAAGACATCAAGGCATTGAGGTCTGAAGGACATGATGAAGGACAGCAAATGCAGGATCTCCGCCTTTAAACGTGTGTTTAGTGAGCGCTGGAGGAGTGTGTGCTGCAGTGATTCTGCAGTGTGTCTGCATAGGGAACTCCCTCATAGACTTTCACCAGGGAACTGACGAATCTGCTGCTCACCGAGAGAGAGAACACAGACATTGCATGACAGTGTGCAGTTTCTGTTTACACTTTATTTGAAATACACTATTGCAGCAGGAGAGATTGCTTGTATACCCATGTAGGTCATGCCTAAAAAAGTTAATTAAGAGACATTTGACCTTTTATGACATTAATTACCCAATAAAACGTCAAATAAATCATTTTCTTAAAAGATTCTAATAATATTAATAATAATAATTATATTAATAATAATCACAATAACAATAATATTAACAACAACAACAATAATAATAATAATATTAACAATAATAATAATATTAATAATAATAATAATAGTACTATAACAATAATAATAATATTAACAATAACAATAACAACAACAATAATAATAATAATATTAACATTAATAATAATAACCATAATATTTCCTAGAGATGGGTTGCGGCTGAAAGGGCGTAAAAACGTGCTGGATAAGTTGGCGGTTCATTCCACTGTGGCGACCCCGGATCAATAAAGGGACTAAGCCGAAAAGAAAATGAATGAATGAATAATAATATTAACAACAACAACAATAATAATAAAAATATTAACAATAATAATGTTAACAATAATAATATGATAAAAATAATAATAATAATAAAATTAACTATATAAATAATCATATTAACAGCAACAATAATAGTAATATTAACAATAATAATAGCAATAATAATGTTATCAATAATAATAATAATATTATTAATAATAATATTTACAATAATAACATTATTATTATTATTATTAATAATATTATTGATAATATTTCTAATAATTTTAACAACAACAATAAGAATAATAATATCAACAACAACAATAATAATAATAATAACAATAATAATATTAATAATAATAATACTTTCAAGTTAGTTTTAAATTTTCCACATACAGAATGATTTATGTAAAATAAATTAAAGTACAAAAAAAGCAAGAGAGAGTGTGTGTGCATGAAAGAAAAAGTGTGTGTGTGTGTGTGTGTGTGTGTGTGTGTGCATGACAGAGAGAGAGTGTGCGAATAAATAGAGCAGGGGATATAGAGAAATGCACAATGCAGGAGAGATCGAGAGAGAGTGTGTGTGTGTGCATGAGCGAGAGAGGGCGAACACATTGAGCAAGAAAGAGAGAGAGAGAGTGTGTGTGTGCGCGCATGAGAGATCGAGCGAGAGAGAGTGTGTGTGAATGTGAGTGCGCCGCAGACAGACTCGCTCGCTGGGCTCTGGGTTGAATGCAGCGCTCAGTGCGGGATCATTGTGACCCAGAAGAGCGAAAGTTTGACGCAGTTTGTCCGCCATGAGGGAGCTGGTGTGGAGCTTCTGCCTCGTCCTGCTGTGTTCGGGCTTCTGCTCTCCCGGTAAGTACCGCACACCGATCGACCGGAGCTCCGGAGCGGTCCGAGTCTGAGAGTGTGTCCCGTCCGCAGTGTCCGTGTCCTCGCGCCAGGCCCACCAGTTCCTGCGCAGAACCCGCAGAGCCAACCAGGTGTTCGAGGAGACCAAACAGGGCCACCTGGAGAGGGAGTGTGTGGAGGAGAAGTGCACTAAGGAGGAGGCGAGGGAAGTGTTCGAGAATGACCCGGAGACGGTGAGACTCTCACTAACTACACCAACTCAGACATAACTAATACATTCAGCACTGCATCATCGCTAATGCTTCATCCAGCGACTCCCTGCTGCTCCCTAGGTAGTGTGCTCTGTGTAGTAAACTTTCCGTTTGAAAGGAAGCTGCTTCCAAGTTAGTGTGCACTCGATGATGTTCACTGTGCAGTCTACTTACTATGCATTTGACAGAAAGTTGCACTCTAGTTAGTGTGAATTTGATGATGTTTACTACTACATAATGGACAGGAAGTTGTTCCCTAGCTTGTGTGTACTCGATTATGTTTGCTACATAATCTGCTTTGCATTTGACGGAAAGCTGCTTCCCTGGCTAGTGTGCACTTGATGTGGTTCACTATTTATCCTGCTTACTTTGCTTTTGACAGAAAGCTGTTCTCTAGTTAGTGTGCACATGATGCTCAGTATATAGTCTGGTCAACAAGCTTCTCCATAGTTAATGTGCATTTGATGATGTACACTATTTGCTTTGCATTTGACAGGAAGCTACTCCCTAGTTAGCTTGCACTCGATGATGTTCACTATAGCTGCTCTCTAGTTAGTGTGGACTCGATGTCCACTATATAGCCTGGTCAGTCTGAAATTAACAAGAAGCTCCTCTCTAGTTAGTGTGCATATGAGGATCTTCACTATGTAGTCTGCTCATTCTGCTTGACCAAGAGTTTATCTGTATTTAGTGTGCACTTGATGATGTTCACTATATAGTCTGCTCATTTTGGTTGCCAGGAAGTTTCTCCCCATTTAGTGTGCACTTGATGATGTTCACTATATAGCCTTCTCATTCTGCTTGACAGGAAGTTTCTCCCTAGTTAGTGTGCATCTAATGATGTTCACTATATAGTCTGCTCATTCTGTTTGACAGGAAGTTTCTCCCTAGTTAGTGTGCATCTAATGATGTTCACTATATAGTCTGCTCATTCTGTTTGACAGGAAGTTTCACCCTAGTTAGTGTGCATCTAATGATGTTCACTATATATTCTGCTTATTCTGCTTGCTAGGAAGTTTCTCCCTAGTTAGTGTGCACTTGATGATATTCACTATATAGTCTATATAGTCTGCTCATTCTACTTGACTGGAAGTTTCTCCCTATTTAGTGTGCACTTGATGATGTTCAGTGTGACTCATGCATATTTATGAACCAAAATAATCCACCCAATTGAGAGATTTGTGTCTGCAGCAGCTCATGAATATTCATAATTATAGTACAGCATTGCTTTGAATATGTAACAGATGTGGAGAGATTGCAAAATAAATCAAGGTCATGGGTTAAAATCAACTCTAAAATTGTAAACCAATATTGGGTCGAATCTCAACGAACCCAAATCTTGAGTTAAAAATGATATTATAATTTAAATATAATAAACTAATAAATATATAACCCTATGTTGTGTTTGTCTGTATTTGAGGTTATGATAACCCGGCATGTTTCTGTCCAGTGATGTCTGTTGAGTCAGTGTGAGTGACTGTGGATGGATGAAAGTCAGTGTTGTGAATATTATAAGAATAATAATGTGATGTTCTGTCCTGCTTTGACATTCTGGCACCTGATTCCTGCTTTCCCTCAATGACCCAGCATGAGTTCTCACACACTGTTCTCCTCCGGGAACTGATATGCAAATGAGCCGGTGTGCGTGCCCTCTGATTGGTCCCTGCGGGGCGTGTCTCAGTGTTTGATTGACAGCCGAGTTCTGGAATGTGTTTTTGATGCAGGATGAATTCCGGCGTGGCGGCGCGTGTCTGCTGCTGATCTCACCGGTGCGCTGATTACATTTAATCCTGTTTGCTCCCTCTATGAGGATCAGACTTTGGGAATGTTTAGGAAGCGGGAAAGATTATGATGACATTGGCACTCTAATGCGTTCTATTAATAGCCTGAGCTGATTTATTCATGCACACACAGGTTATTATAGTGTTGGGTTTTATTGTGATGCTGTGTCTGACATCTGCTGTGCGCTTCAGTTTAGTTTTAGATCGCTTCATCATTGGTTTTGTTTTAGTTTGCTTTTAGTCATTTTGGTTCAGTTTTAGTAAGGAATCTGAATGGATCATTTGAATCAGTGAGTCTTTTACAGGAGAACAACTCTGAACAGATCATTTGATTTCAATAAATGATTACTTGAGACTCACACTGAACAGATCATTTGAATTGGTGAGTCATTTACTGGAGTGTTACTCTGAATGAATCATTTGCATCAGTGAGTCCTTTATTGAAGAATCACTCTAAACAGATCATTTGAATCATTTAAGGATTTACTTAAGATTCAGTTTGAACAGGTCATTTGAATCAGTGAGTCTTTTACCGGAGAATCACTCTGAAAAGATCATTTGATTCCATAAATGATTATTTGAGACTCACACTGAACAGATCATTTGAATCAGTGAGTCTTTTACTGGAGAAACACTCTGAATTGATCATTTGATTCATTGAAAGATTTACATGAGACTCACTCTGAACAGATAATTTGAATTGGTGAGTCCTTTAGTGGAGAATCACTCTGAACTGATAATTTGAATCAGTGAGTCTTTTACTGGAGAATCAATCTGAAAAGATCATTTGATTCAATGAATGATTTACTTAAGACTCACTCTAAACAGATCATTTGAACTGGTGAGTCCTTTACTGAAGAATCACTCTGAACAAATAATTTGAATCATTTAAGGATTTACATAAGATTCACTCTGAATGGGTCATCTGATTCAATGAATGATTTACTTGAGACTCACTTTGAATGAATCATTTGAATCAGTGAATCGTTTACTAGAGCCTCACTCTGAATGGATCATTTGAATCAGCGAGTCCTTTACTGGGAGAATCACTCTGAACAGATGAGTTGAAGTGAGTTGTTGACTCCTGTACAGATGTCATTCCAGTTCATAAATGAATTGTTCAGTGCAATGTGTGAGCCAATATAACAGGTGAATAAATGCATGCTAATTATCTTCATCTTGGTGGTTTTCAGTGACTGCTGTTTTATTTGATTAGTTTTAGTCATTGATTTATTGTGACATTTTTATTTCAGTTCACAGAAATGATTTCTGACCAATAGTTTTAGTCCTAGATTCAATAGTATAACCTTGATGGTCATGTGATGGTGTGTGCGTGCTGCGTGTCAGGGTTTCCTCTGTCTCTGCATGCATTATTGACATGCGGTGTGCGTGTGCTGCTTCTCTGACGCTGCAGATTTCTCTCTGCAGTGTGTGTGAGTGAGTCAGCAGTGCACCAGTAACCTGATTAAGCATAAGCCGCTGACTCTAACCTGTTCATCATGTGTCTTCATTAACTCAGAACTCATGTGGGAGGTCAGAGGTCACTGGGGTCACGGGTCTGATTGTATTGAAGACTTCAGGGAGGAGAAAGATGGATTTAGCACAGTTTTACTCCACCCACACCTCTGCAGAGCTGGAAAAAATCAGCCTTTGAGACTCAGTGAATCATTTACTGGAGACTCTCTGAACAGATCATTTGAATCAGTGAGTACTTTACTGAAGACTCACTCTGAATACATAATTTAATTCAGTGAATCATTTACTGTAGCATCTCTCTGAACAGATCATTTGAATCTATGAGTTCTTTACCGGAGATTCATTCTGAATACACAATTTAATTCAGTGAATCATTTACTGGAGACTCACCCTGAACAGATCATTTGAATCTATGAGTTCTTTACCGGAGATTCACTCTGAATACACAATTTAATTCAGTGAATCATTTACTGGAGACTCAACCTGAACAGATCATTTGAATCAGTAAATAATTTACCGGAGACTCTCTCTGATTGGATTGTTTGAATCATTGAATCACTATTAGAGACTCATTGTTAACAGATCATTTGAATCAGTCAATAATTTACTGGAGATTCACTCTTAATGGATCATATGAATCAGTTAATCATTTATTTGAGAGTCACTCTAAACCGATTATTTGAATCAGTGAGTTCTGGAGACTCGCTGTGAACAGATCATTTTGAATCAGTGAATCATTTACTGGACAATCACTCTAAATGAATCATTTGAATCAATGAGCTGTAGACTCGTGAACAGATGTCTGTCCAATTCACAAGTGAAATGTTCAGTGCAATTTCTGACCCAATTAAACAGGTTAACAGATACAGCTCAGCTTTCTTTCACAAATGAAACACTACTGTCTGCTCCATGAGCAGGTGATGATTTCCCCTCTTCTAAATAACCTTTTATTGAGCTTCATTCAGTGATGTAGTGGAGAAAAAAATACAGTATCTGCTTGGGGATGTGGAGAAGGTAAAGTTTCCTGAAATAGATAATAAATAAATAAAGTACAGACACTTCAAACATGTATTGAAGTGAAGTTAAAATACTTCCCGTACTGGTGTGTGTGTGTGTGTGTGCTTCATACCATTTCAGAAAGCAAGACGGGACACATTATCCACCCAGATGAAAGGCAAAATATGAGCTGAACATGTCAGGACAGGAGCTCATGTGAACCACTCGTAGCCAAACACACACACACACACACACACACACACACACACACACACGTGTTTTCATATCCAACACACATCCATTAAACTCTTGATAATCAGTCCAGCGGGTAATCATGTCTTCTCTTTTTATCTTTATAGGAGTATTTCTACCCCAAGTATCAGGGTGAGTGTGTTTATCAGCTTTCTCTGTGTTCTGTTGTTGGGTTTGAGCTGATGTTGTTGTGTTTTGCCTTGATTTTCAGCTTGTATGGAGAGATTTGGGGATTCAGAGAAGAAGAAACAGGATTTGATTACCTGCGTTCACAGTGAGTCACACACACACACACACACACACACACACACACACCTGTCTGTTCATTAGGAGTGTGTGATATTGACAAATCTATGTTCAGTAATAAAGTGATTCATTCAAAACTGCTGATTCATTTCAATGTCTTACTGATTGGCTCATTGAATCAAATAAATCAAATTGAGTCAAATGATTCATATAGAAATCAATTCATTCAGAAATGTTCTGCTCTGGCTGTGTTTGAATCATTTTCATTGGCAAAACAGAAACAGTGTGTGTGTGTGTGTGTGTGTGTTTGTATGTTTGTTTGTTTGTGAGTGAGTGAATCTGTGTGAATGTGTTTGTGTGTGTGTGTGTGTGTGTGTACCTCATATTCCTTACACTGAGCACCAAATGTCCCCACAAGTATAGCAATACCAGTAAATTTTATTGTGTATTATTTATTTTGGTCTCCATAAGGAAATGACTCATAAATCAGACAGAATGAAGTATCTGTGTGTGTGTGTGTGTGTGTGTGTGTGTGTGTGTGTATGTGTGTGTGTGTATGTGTGTGTGTGTGTGTGTGTGTGTGTGTGTGTGTGTGTGTGTGTGTGTGTGTGTGTGTGTGTGTGTGTGTGTGTGTGTGTGTGTGTGTGTGTGTGTGCAGAGCTGTGTAGTTATTAATATCTTCATGAAGCTTTACGCAGTGGCATTAATCTTCTCTCTGATCATCATTCTGGTGACCGTCCGTCAGTAAATGCCGGTGTGTGAAGCCCCTCTGGTGGGTGTGTGTGTGACGCTGCTCATGACGCTGCTCTGACGACTACTGGAGGCTCGTCCTGCTTTTCTCTTTCTGCTGATTGGTCCATTGCCTCGTGCTGTGCTATGTTTGGTCATTCAGTGTCCAGCAGATCCTGAGTCAGAGAGACAGAAGCTGCAGCTCTGAGCGCTTCTTCTGTTGTCACGCACACACACACACACACACTCGCGCAGCGTCAGCAAGCACATCCCAGACTCATCAGAACACATTGACATTCAGCCTGAAGAGCGGACACACACACACACCGTCACGACCGCGCACTGCAGAACACACTGCTCTTACTCAGAGTCTGTCCAGATATCTGAACACTCTGAATCAGAGGCTTTATCTAGACAAGCACAACATGTAGTGCTGGACGACATGGCAAACATTTATATCACGATATATTTCTTCATTTCGGTCTATACGATATAATTCTGATATCGATATGGACAATATTAAAGAACGCACACAATGGATGTCTGTAACTACAAATGTCTGCAAACTGAATTTGCACATGAGAGCTGTTCAGAGAAGCGAGATGAGTCTGCAGTGTGGACATGGATCATTTCTCACTCGATAATGCTGTTTTTAAACCTTAAACTAAGATAATTCATGAGTTCACACTTGCAAACGTTTCAGAATACAGCGTATCGGGCGTGTTGTCCGGGGAGAGGGCTCTGAGCTCGGGGAAGACACCCCAACTCGAGTTATTCCCCTTATCAGGAAATAGAGAGGAGTTGGGATTCGAGCGAAGTATCTATCCCGGCCCCAGAACGCTCCCCCGGGAATGTAATGCTTAAGAGGTGAGGTGTCGGGGTGGTGGAGGGATGCTAAAGTCGTCAGATACTGCAGGTAAAATACTTCTGCGTCAGGTGACCGGCGTAACCAACGGTGCATGCAGCGCGCGTAGCTGTGCATTTATACTTCTGCTGCTGTCTCTGTTGGCCTGCAGTAACACTTCCGAAACACTAGTGGGCAGTGATGTGTAAATGTTCCTCTGTGTTAAGTTTCTTCGCTGGTGTTTTGTTCTTTCTCTCATTTTGAGGCAGGAACCGGCGTATGTGCAACAACTTTAACAATGAGGTAAACACAAAACAAAACTTTCCATCCGGAGCTCCTTCACGGGACTCCACACTTGTAAACAATCACTCCATCAGGCCCGCGTGGCTCTCGGTCCCGCCCAGACTCGTCAGCACTACAAAGCTGACCAATCACAGAGCTTGCGCTACCCGTCGTTGCGACTTGTAGTTACATTTTTTGAAAGGTGCACGTCGGGTGTATATAGGGGTTTGATCAAGAACTGATTGGGTAATAGAATAATTGTCAATGACGTATTTGATGCTGTAACTTCTGTGCATGCTCCTGAGTGTGTGTTTTTGTGAGCGGGTTGCTGCTGTGTTGGGGACGGGCCAGAGGATAGTGATGCCGGCTCAGCATCGTGATGTTTATCGGCCATCGGCAATGGATGATGACATCGTCTGTCGACTCAACCCTAAAAGGGTGTCCGCGGTGTCTTAAAATGCATTAAAATTTGATAAATCAATTATGAGGAAATTACTGCCCTTAAAAGGTATTAAAAAGTTTTAATCGCATTTTTACAAAATTTTAAGCGTTGTCTAAAGTGTTTGACTCCAATAAAGCATAAATATTGCTTAAAAATATATATTTTCCTCCTATGTGATGTGGTTTACATGGTTTACATGATGTGTTTTACGTGATGTACACAACCGTGTCATTTATTCTTATAAGCTTTGCTTCTTCAGAGCTTATCTGAGTTCTGTTGCATGGTTGTGCTCCATTGATTTATTTAACTACAGCTGTTTATTAAGCTAAAGGTTTGATGAGTACTTGAAGTGGCGATGAGGTCTTAAAATATTCTGAGAAGGTCTTTAAAAAGTTTAAAAAGTAAAAAAGTTACCTTTAGGATTCCTGCATTATTTATGATGTATTCTTACAGGGAACTACAGGCGAGCTGATGTGCATTAATGTTATTTTTTTTCTTTAATAGGTCAGATTTTGCCAGTGGTATGAATAATTTCAGGCTGAACTGTGTCTATGTTCTTCATGCGTCACATTAGAGAAGCTGAATGACTTTGTGTCTCATTGTGTTTGTGTTTTCTCTCACACAGACATTCCAGACCAGTGTTCCCCGAACCCCTGCTATCATTACGGGACGGTGCGCTGCGAGGACAAAAAGGGCGAATTCCGCTGTCACTGCTTCACAGGATGGAGCGGCGCCACGTGTCAGAACGGTAAAAACACACCGTCAGCCTTCAGATTTGATCTCTAAGAGCCTCAAATTTCAGACGACGTCTCTATTTCTAATCTCTCAGATCTCCATGTTGGGCTGTGCAATGTGATGATATACAAGTGAAGTCTCCTGTCTCCTGAACTCTCCTGTTAAATTATAATTATTCAGTATTTTATCCACAATTTGTGTTTAACAGAGGAGATTTACACATCTCTAATCATAACAGTGTTAATAACTCATCTCTAATAACTGATTTATTTCCTCTTTGTCATGATGACAGTAAATAATATTAGACTAGATATTCTTCAAGACACTTCTATACAGCTTAAAGTGACATTTAAAGGCTTCACTAGGGTAATTAGGGTAATTAAAAGTTATAATTTGGTTAAGTAAACTTCTTTTTTTGTCTCATTTCCAGCCAAAAATGTAACTGGTTAAATCAAAAGTATCTTTTCCAGGGGTATGAATAGTTTGAGGCTTGACCTATATGGTGATATATGAGATCTGGACGTGTCCTCTGACAGAGTGTGCCTGTAATAATGTATTGATCCAGATGCATTGCAGTGAATGTCATGGAGACACTGGAGACTGAAGCAGTGATGCAGCGTTTCTCTTCTGCTGCTGCTGGCCTGATTATGAATCTGCATGTGCTCTTGAGTTAACTCTGGTACAGCGGTAGATCATCCATCATGTTCTCCAGCGGTGTCGAGTCAGCATAAGCACTGGACAAACTTTGCTGAGTTAAGATCCTCTGGTGCTGCTGAAACTGAACTCTTCCTGTAGAGTTGCTGTGCTGCTCACTTAAGAAAGCAGCAGTGGTTGCATCCCAAATGACACACTATACACTCAGTTTAGGGTCGTCCCAAATGGAACACTGACTTTTTTACCAAATCATTTCCCTCTTGATGTTTAACAGTTGCCAAATCAGTGAAATAAAAGACCAAATTACCAAACAGTAGCTTTGATGAGTATAACCACATTTAATAATTCACATTTATCAGGAGACGCTTAATCACTCATGGTACGTAGGAGATTTTTGCTCACACAACTCAAAATAAACAAAGGGATCCACCCGCAGTACCTGTAAGCTTTCCCCTTAATCAGGAGCTCCACCCCTTAATCATTAGCTCCACCCCTACGTTAGTAGGTCAATACCTTTATAAGTAGCTCCTCCCCTCAATCAAAATCTGCTCTCCTTAATTAAAAGTTCCTTCACTTCATCAGAAGCTCCGCCCCTTCGTTAGTAGGTCATTACCTTTATCGGTAGCTCCTTCCCTTCATCAGTAAGTCTTTCCCTCTATTAGTAGCTCCTCCCATTCATCATCAGCTCCTCCCCTTAATCAGAATCTTCTCCTCTTCGTTAAAATTCCTTCACTTAATCAGTAGCTCCTCCTCATCCGAAATCAGCCCCTTCATCATTAGGTCCTTTCCTTTATTAGTGGCTCCTCCCATTCATCATCAGCTCCTCCTCTTCATAAAAACTTCCTTTACTTAACCAGTAGCTCTTCCCATTCATCATCAGCCCCTCCCCTTCATTCAAAGTTTCTTTAACTAATTAGTAGCCCCCCCCCCCCCCCCTTCATCAGTAGGTCCTTCCTTTTAATTAGTAACTCCTCTCAGTCATCATCAGCCCCTCCTCTTTTTTTAGTAGCTCCTCCCATTCATCAACCCCTCCTCTTCATCAAAAGTTTATTCACTTGATCAGTAGCTCCTCCCCTTCATAACTAGGTCCTTCCTTTTATTAGTAGTTCCTTCCATTCGTCATCAGCCCCTCCCCTTCATTAAAAGTTTCCTCACTTAATCTGTAGCTCCTCCCCTTCATCAGTAAGTCTTTCCCTCTATTAGTAGCTCCTCCCATTCATCATCAGCTCCTCCCCTTAATCAGAATCTTCTCCTCTTCGTTAAAATTCCTTCACTTAATCAGTAGCTCCTCCCCTTCATCCGAAGCTCAGTCCCTTCATCATTAGGTCCTTTCCTTTATTAGTAGCTCCTCCCATTCATCATCAGCTCCTCCTCTTCATTAAAACTTCCTTTACTTAACCAGTAGCCCCTCCCCTTCATCATCAGCCCCTCCCCTTCATTCAAAGTTTCTTTAACTAATTAGTAGCCCCCCCCCCCCCCCCCTTCATCAGTAGGTCCTTCCTTTTAATTAGTAACTCCTCTCAGTCATCATCAGCCCCTCCTCTTTTTTTAGTAGCTCCTCCCATTCATCAACCCCTCCTCTTCATCAAAAGTTTATTCACTTGATCAGTAGCTCCTCCCCTTCATAACTAGGTCCTTCCTTTTATTAGTAGTTCCTTCCATTCGTCATCAGCCCCTCCCCTTCATTAAAAGTTTCCTCACTTAATCTGTAGCTCCTCCCCTTCATCAGTAAGTCTTTCCCTCTATTAGTAGCTCCTCCCATTCATCATCAGCTCCTCCCCTTAATCAGAATCTTCTCCTCTTCGTTAAAATTCCTTCACTTAATCAGTAGCTCCTCCCCTTCATCCGAAGCTCAGTCCCTTCATCATTAGGTCCTTTCCTTTATTAGTAGCTCCTCCCATTCATCATCAGCTCCTCCTCTTCATTAAAACTTCCTTTACTTAACCAGTAGCCCCTCCCCTTCATCATCAGCCCCTCCCCTTCATTAAACGTTCCCTCACTTAATCAGTAGCTCCTCCTCTTCAACATTAGCTCCTCCCCTTCTTTAGTAGGTCATTCCTCTTATCAATAGCTCTTCCCATTCATCATCAGCCCCTCCCCTTCATCAAAAGTTTCTTTAACTAATTAGTAACCCCCCCCCCCCCTCATCAGTAGGTCCTTCCTTTTAATTAGTAACTCCTCTCGTTCATCATCAGCCCCTCTTTTTTTAGTAGCTCCTCCCATTCATCAACCCCTCCTCTTCATCAAAAGTTTATTAACTTAATGTGTAGCTCCTCCCCTTCATCAGTAGGTCCTTCCCTTTATTAGTAGCTCCTCCTGTTCATCATCAGCCCCTCTTCTTCATCAGTAGCTCCTCCCCTTCATTAGTAGGTCATTCCGTTTTTTAGTAGCTCCTCCCATTCGTCATCAGCCCCTCTCCTTCATCAAAAGTTTCCTCACTTAATGTGTAGCTCCTCCCCTTCATCAGTAGGTCCTTCCCTTTACTAGTAGCTCCTCCTGTTCATCATCAGCCCCTCCTCTTCATCAGTAGCTCCTCCCATTCATTATCAGCCCCTCCCCTTCATCAAAAGTTTCTTCACTTAATCAGTGGCTCCTCCCCTTCATCAGTAGCTCCTCGCCTTCATTAGTAGGTCATTCCCTTTAAAGTAGCTCCTCCCATTGATCATCAGCCCCCCTTCATCAAAAGTTTCTTTACCTGATCAGTAGCTCCTCCTCTTCATCAGTAGGTCCTTCCCTTTATTAGTAGCTCCTCCCATTCATCATAAGTCCCTCACCTTTATCCGTAGCTCCTCTTCTTCATCAGAAGCTCCTCCTCTTCATCTGAAGCTCCTCCCCTTTTTATTGGATAGGTTTATCCTACTGTAAGCACATTCAGCTGCTCATCTTGGCATTTCCATTAAGCAGTATTTTTATGCAAGATTCCAACATGCACATTAAAAGTAGGTGGATGGAAACACAGCAACTGGTGATCCCCTAGCAACCACACCGCCGTCACTCAGAGCAGTGATGCTGGAGAGTTTTGTGTTGGTGTTTAATGCAGTGTGTGTGTGTGTGTGTGTGTGTGTGTGTGTGTGAGTCAGTGTTTGGGTTTGAAGCTCTTCCAGACTCACACAGAGCCGCATTCATCTCTCTGATGATTCATGAAGATCTGCAGCTTCAGCTCAGAGGGGAAAACTCTGAGCCACTTTCTTCCACACTGAGCCTCCTGCTGCCGGACTCCGCCCACCGGCGCAGCTCCAGCCAATTAGGAGTCAGCCTCTGAGTGCGAGCTCCAGCTGATTGGCTGACTCTGCAGTTGTGTGTGTGTGTGTTCTGCAGATGTGGACGAGTGCATCAGTGGAAACGGCGGCTGTGAGCACGTGTGTAACAACACTATGGGCAGTTATAAATGCTCCTGTGAGGACGGATACCGGCTGTCGGGTCACCACAGCTGTCTGGGTGAGTGAAGCTGTCAAACACATTCAACACTAAACACTATAGAAGTACACACCTGCTGTGACTCCAAAGATTCAAACAAACCCGTACTTCAGTGTGTGTGACTGAAGATTCTGCAAGTTTTGGGACACACTACTTCTTCAATAACTGACTGTTCTGTTGCTTAGTTACGTCCCCTGTCAATCATCTCCAAACATCATTCGTTCACACATAAATTCATATTTAATTTCCTACAATAGATTCAGCAGCAGCAGTGTGTTAATCTGCCACAACGTGGAGAATGTGGTGTAAATATGTTCCAGTTAGCTAGATATGAATTAGCAATCATTCAAACAACAAACAACTTACTAAAGCCTCTTTACATGACGGTTGGTCTTGCATGTCCGCCATGTTTGTAGTTTGTTTACACTTTTTACCAGAGTTTGTAGTTCTAATCAAATTCATGTCCACTGCACAATGTATTACGGGGACGCAGCAACTGTTTCAGATTACAGCGTGTTCAGCCATTCACTAACCCTGATATTTTATCCACGGCTGCTCTTTCCTCTTCAGAATCAAAACTGCCGTAAATATAAACAAAAAACAACCAAAAACATGATCATATCTGTAGCAGCGTCTTATTTGTGGTCATATATCTGAGAAGTAAATCATTAAAAGCATCATGATGCATCCGATATCTCTGCACTGCGTTTACACTTCGAGTTACTTTGGACTCGATGAAAAATGTTCATCAAAACCACATTATATCAGAAAAAGCAAACAGTATATATTTCACTATGATATATGTTTATTTTTGTTTTTGTTGTTATATAGTGGAGGTGAATTTTTTATTGTATAAATATTGAATGTTCTGTTAATGCTGGATTTACCCAGAAGACATAAAATTCTATATTTTTCATAAGATTCCAATTTTTTTTATCTAATTCAAACTAAATGTAAAAATTGTATTTGAAATTTGAATTAACTTTGAATTTATATTACTGTCATTGTTGTTACCATAGCAACTGTAGAATCACCACTACAGATCAATTACTGTGTTACCATAGCAACTGTAGAATCACCACTACATACCAATTACTCTAGTTGTTGTGTTACCATAGCAACTACAGACTCACCACAACAGATTAATTACGATAGTTGTTGAGTTACCATAGCAACTGTAGAATCACAACAGATCAATTACTGTAGTTGTTGAGTTACCATAGCAACTGTAGAATCACAACAGATCAATTACTGTAGTTGTTGAGTTACCATAGCAACTGTAGAATCACAACAGATCAATTACTGTAGTTGTTGAGTTACCATAGCAACTGTAGAATCACAACATATCAATTACTGTAGTTGTTGTGTTACCATAGCAACTGTAGAATCACCACAACTGATTAATTATAGTTGTTGTGTTCCCATAGCAACTGTATAATCACCAGAACAGCTCAATTACTGTGATTGTTGTCTTACCATAGCAACTACAGGATCACCACAACATATTAATTGCAATAGTTGTTGTGTTACCGTAGCAACTGTATAATCATCACAACAGATTAATTACGATAGTTGTTGAGTTACCATAGCAACTGTAGAATCAGCACAACAGATTAATTGCTATAGTTGTTGAGTTACCATAGCAACTATAGAATTCCCCTCAACAGTGAATTAGTATAGTCAATTATAATTATTTTAATTACTATAGTGGTGTTTTTAGGGTTTTAAAAGCTTCATTCTCTTGTTAAAGATTTGGCATTTCTTTTTTTCGTAGTTTTTCACCTTTTATTGGGATGTGATAGTGGAGGACAGACAGGAAAGCATAGGGAGCAGAGAGAGGGGAAGGATGAGCATAGGACCTTGAGCCGGGAATCAAACTCGGGTCGCCCTGAGCACTATGGTGCTGTATGTCAGTGCACTGAACCACTGGGCTATTGACGCAGACAAAAATGTGTCATGTCTTCAGTGTATGCAGCGCCGGCAGTGCAGTGACTGTATATTTTGTATGGTGTGCAATGGTAGATCAGTGTGTGTCCGTGAGCTCTCTGAGTGTGTGTGTGCTGTTCTCCGCAGATGTGGACGAGTGTGTGGAGACTCCTGATGTGTGTGGAAGCGCTCACTGCTCAAACCTCATTGGTGGACTGGAGTGTCTGTGTGACGAGGGCTTCATCTATGATAACATCAGCAGGAGCTGTGTAGGTCAGTCTTCAGCAACACCATACACATTCAGGAGATGCGTGTGTGTGTGTGTGTTCAAATTGCACAATAAAAATTGAGTAAAACTTAATAAATAATATAAATTCAAAAATATGATAATAAAATGATAACAATAGTAATAAATAATATTGTTTTGATTTGAGGAATATTAGTTTTTTTTTTACACAAGACTTTCTTAAAACTAATATAGTTGTATGTGTGTGTGTGTGTGTGTAATCGCTGTGTGCACTGCTGCTGTCTTTCAGATGTGGACGAGTGTGAGACGCACGTGTGTGAGGAGGAGTGTGTGAACACGCCTGGAAGTTTCCGCTGCTTCTGTGACGGTCGTCTGGGAAAGAGACTGAGCTCAGACATGAGGAGCTGTGAGGTGAACAACACACAATACTAGCAGATTATAGGAAAAAGTCAAACTAAATTATAATAGCGGCGTCTCAGTGGTCAGCGCTGTCGCCTCACAGCAAGAAGGTCTTTGGTTCGAGTCCCGGCTGGGTCAGTGTGTGGTTCTGTGTGGAGTTTGCATGTTCTCCCCGTGTTGGTGTGGGTTTCCTCCGGGTGCTCCGGTTTCCCCCACAGTCCAAACACATGCGCTATAGAGGAACTGATCCACACAGTCTGTGTGTGAATGGGTGTTTCACAGTACTGGGTTGCAGCTGGAAAGGCATCCGCTGTGTAAAACATATGCTGGATAAGTTGGTGGTTCATTTCACTGTGGCAACCCCTGATGTATAAAGGAAAATGAATGAATGAAATTACAATCTACCATGTTTGATGAGAAGTAGCGCTGACAAATGATTAATTATAATTAATTGCATGCTAAATAAAAGGTAATATTTACAAAATGCACTTGTTATTGGTGTGTACTGTGTATAATTTTGTTTATTAAAACATATGCATGACTATATTGTATAAAATACTTGCCTATGTTTACATATAAATATTTATAATACTGTATATTTTTGTATTTTATGTATAGTGTGTGTGTGTATTTATTTATTTATATATATATGTATTCATAAATATACACAGTAAATATTCATTCATTCATTCATTTTCTTTGGCTTAGTCCCTTTATTGATCAGGGATCGCCACAGTGGAATGAACCGCCAAATATTCCAGCATATATTTTACACAGCGAATGCCCTTCGAGCTGCAACCCATCTCCGGGAAACATCCATACACACTCATTCACACTCATACACTAGGGACAATTAAGCCTACACAGTTCCCCTATAGCGCATGTGTTTGGACTGTGGGGGAAACCGGAGCACCTGGAGGAAACCCACACCAACACGGGGAGAACATGCAAACTCCACACAGAAACACCAACTGACCCAGCTGAGGCTCGAACCAGCGACCTTCTTGCTGTGAGGCGACAGTGCTAACCACTGCGCCACCGTGTTGCCCAAAGTAAATATAAATAATGTAAATACAAACTTTAATCTCGGATGTACTAATGAAAAACAATTACATTTATGGAACACTAAATCATAACTGAAGACACAAATCACTGAAATAGAGTAATTAATAATTAAGATGCTGGAGTGGTATGATTTAAAAGCTTGGTTAAGTCTTTCTGCACACACACACACACACACACACACGCACACACACACACACACACACACACAGTTACTGCTTTAGTTGTGTTTATTATCTCTGTCTTTCACTTTTATCTGCTGATTAGTTTTACTTTCGTTTCTGTCTTTTAGACTCTCTGACTTTCAGTTTTCATTGACACTTTTAATCTCACTGCTTGATTTCTTTGTTTTTGTGCTTTTTTTAACTCATTCCTCTAGAAAATGAGCCGTGGTTTTGTTATAAATGATTATATAAAAGTCTAGTAAACATGTTTTTGGTGCATTGGTGATTGTTTCTTATCATTTTTCACAGTTAAACTTTTATTAATTAAACTGTGGTTAATTTTTGCTTTCTGTAGGTCAGTTGTTTTATTAATTAATTAATTAATTAATTAATTAATTTATTTATTTATTTATTTTTATTATTAATTAATTTCATTTTGTTGTTCTCTGTTTTTGTTTTGTTTGATTATTATTTTTCTTCAGTTTTAGTTTAGTTTTTGTCGTTTTTGTGTTGTGTTGTTTCGTGTTTTGTCTTGTTTAGTCATAAGCATGACTGGACTGTGACTGGCTTCAGTTTCATCATGATAAGCCTCTGCAATAATGTGATGTTATGATATATTGTTATGATTGTACAACAGTGACCGGGTCGACATCAGACCGCCAGTATAAACACAGCTGTATCCTGTTGTTCTCAATTATATCACATGTGTGTATTTTACTAGTTTAGTGTTTATTTAAAATGTACATGATTAATTCTGTATATTTGTACATATTACAGTGCAAACCCTTTGAACATTATCGTGTGTGTGTGTGTGTGTGTGTGTGTGTGTGTGTGTGTGTGTGTGTGTGTGTGTGTGTGTGTGTGTGTGTGTGTGTGTGTGTGTGTGTGTGTGTGTGTGTGTGTGTGTGTGTGTGTGTGTGTGTGTGTGTGTGTGTTCAGTCCATTAGTCTGGATCGGCCGCTGGACATGAGGAGAAACTCTCGCTCTCTGTATCTCGGCCGGATGTTCAGTGGTATTCCTGTGGTGCGACTCCGCTTCCGGCGCAGGGTTCAGACTGGGTGAGCAAACACACACACACAGAAACACATATCCACACGGACACACAAATACTTACACACACACTCAAACACATTTGCTTACACACTCACACTCTCTATCTTCTCTTCACTGATAGTGCTTTCTCCTCAGTTTCACAGCAGAGTTTGACCTCAGGACCTTTGACCCCGAGGGCGTGATCTTCTTCGCTGGTGGACATTTGAACAGCTCCTGGATCGTTCTGCTGGTGCATCATGGGAAACTGGAGCTGCAGCTGAAGTACGGAGTCGTGAGTCGAGTGACCAGCAGCGGACCGCAGGTCAACGACGGGCAGTGGCACAAGGTGAGAGGTCAGAGGTCACGAAAAAATGCTGCTCTTATTTAGAGTTTTTGAATTGTTTCTAGTCCAAATATCTAAAAATTATTAAATTAAGAAGCATTTTCTAGACAAGCAGTAAATATCGTGTTGGAAAAATGACCTTTTTGCAGTTCTACGCCTCATTTTCTGTTTAACTAAGAGATGTAAATAAGGCATTTTAGTGACATTTTAAGCACAAATTTGAGCTGGATTACCTGTAGCTTGTTCCATGGTCAACATACCACAGTTTTTGGTGTATAAAAAGATATTTCCCAAAGATTTACACTAAAGAAATATGAGAAAATGCTCATTTTTAAAATACTAATGTATTACATCAACCATTAGAAAAAAATGTTTTGAATCTCCTAAAGTCTGTGCTCTATTGGTATTTATTAGGAAAATGGCAAACTTGGCAGCACATTCAACTTTCCTCAATCAGAATTTGGCCATTTGAATAATACAAAATTTCAGACATAATAATAATAATAATAATAATTACAATAATAATAATAATGATAATAATGATAATAATAATAAAAATAATAATTACAATAATAAAAATAATAATAATTTCAACAATAATAATAATGATAATAATAATAATTACAATAATAATAATAATAATAATAAAAATAATTACAATAATAATTATTATTATTATAATAATAATTACAATAATGATAATAATAATAATAATAATAATTATAATATAATAATGATAATAATAATAGCAATAATAATAATAATTATTATTATTACAATAATAATAATAATTACAACAACAACAATAATAATAATAATAATAATAATTACAATAATAATTACAATAATAATAATAATAATTACAACAATAATAATAGTAATAATAATAATAATTACAACAATAATAAAAATAATAATTACAATAATAATAATAATAATAATAATAATGTACAGCTTCATGATTTATCAAGCTTCTCTTGTAAAAAGTCAAATTGAAAATTCTCGGATAACATCAACAACCTAATTAGTGTTCAAATTAATTTTAAAACAGTAAATAAAAGTTACTTGTAAAATAATTTCTCTATTTAAAGACAGTACAGTAGCAAAGGATGACCTCACTTATGTCAGTCTGTATGTTTTCTTGCACAGCTGAATGTTGGACTGAAATAATTGTTTGCATCAGCCAAAACTGATTGGAAGCGTCAGCCAACAGAAGATTCTGCTTGGTCTTAAGGAATTTTTCAACTGATTATTTTTACTGTTAAAGATGGCATATCAGTCAAAATAGGACACATGAGCTCATGTATTGGCCAAAATCTGGACCTTTGTCAGTGAGGGGTGGGTCTTTCGAACCATATGAACCCCCCCGCTCATTTATTGTGAAGTGTTTCCCATTTATTTGATATTATTAGAAGCATGTTCTGAGAGATGTTCTGATTGGTGCAGATCTCGGTGGAGGAGCAGGGGCGGAGCCTGGTCATTAAGATTGACAGGGAGGCGGTGATGAAGATCGCAGTAAACGGAGACCTGTTCACTCTGAATAAAAACATGCACGAGCTGAACCTGACGGTGGGGGGAGTTCCCTTCAGAGACGATGGGCTGGTCAGCAGAGTGAGTTTAACACACACACACACACACACACACACAATGAACAAATCACAAATTCATTCATTCTCCTTTGGCTTAGTCCCTTATTCATCAGGGCTCGCCACAGCAGAATGAACCACCAACTATTCCAGCACATATTTCACACAGCGGATGCCATTTCAGCTGCAACCCAGCACTGGAAAACACCCATACACTCTCATTCACACATACACACACACTTATAGGCCAATGTAGTTCATCAATAGTGCATGTGTTTGGACTGTGGGGGAAACCGGAGCACCCGGAGGAAACCCACACCAACACGGGGAGAGCATGCAAACTCCACACAGAAACACCAACCGAGGCTTGAACCAGCCACCTTTTTACTGTGAGGTCACAGTGCTAACCACTGAGCCACTGTGATGCCCCATTTCTGATGTCATGTGTGCTTTGATTGAGCTGAGTTACTGTAGTGGGTCTGTGTGATTATTATCTGTGTGTGTGTTCCAGGTTAACCCACGGCTGGACGGCTGTATGAAGGACTGGCGCTGGTTAACCGGTGAGGACACGTCCATTCAGGAAACCATCCGGCACAATGAACGCATGCAGTGTTACGCCGTCGAGGACCACAGCGCCTTCTACCCCGGACACGGGTTTGCATACTTCAACCACAGCCATGGTGAGTGCTGGAGGTGCACACTGCAAATAATGCTCTCTTACTCAGAGTCTTGGATCTGTTTCTAATCCAAATATCTCCAAATTCTGAAATCAAGAAGCATTTTCTAGACAAGCAAAACAAAAAGTCTTGTTTTCAGAAATATTGAGTTAAGATGAAGTGAGTTTTTCCTTCAAACAAGCTAAATAATCTGCCAATGAGGGAAGAGAAATAACCTCGTTTTTCCTTTGCCATTGTAATGAGTCGGGATGACGGAGGTGAAGATCCACGTGCAGCTTTATATTTATATCTAGTTTGTATAAAGTGTTTTATTTTAGAATTGATTTTAAATGTATTTTTCTGTTTGATGTTAGGGGTGTGCAAGTGCATTCTGAAATATAATTTAATTTAATATTCATTCATATGCATGTGTTATTAACTGTTTTTGTAGCACATTTCATTCATTCATTCATTCATTTTCTTTTTGGCTTAGTTCCTTTATTAAGACTTACGGAATGAACCGCCAACTATTCCAGCATATGTTTTACGCAGCAGATGCCCTTCCATCTGCAACCCAGTACTGGGAAACACCCATACACTTGCACACACTCACATACACTACGGCCAATTTAATTAATCAGTTCCCCTATAGCGCATGAGTTTGGACTGTGGGGGAAACCAGAGCACCCGGAGGAAACCCACACCAACACGGGGAGAACATGCAAACTCCACACAGAAACACCAACTGACCCAGCCGAGACTCGAAGCAGAGACCTTCTTGCTGTGAGGCGATTGTGCTACCCACTGTGCCACCGTGCTGCCTGTAGCAGATCTGTCTATCAATAACTTGTTTATCATTTTAATGATGTATTTTATTGTCCTCACAGGAGACAATCAGACGCTCAGTGTTCATGTGACTCTGCGTGCCGCATCCTCCATGGGGGTTCTGTTCGCTCTGGTTCGTCAGGACAGAGTCCCGTTCTCCATCTCTCTCTCCGACTATCATCCAGGGACCCTCCAGTGGACCAAGGTGTGTGTGTGCATGAGTGTGTATGTGATTGCGTGTGTGTGTGTGTGTTAGTGATGGGAGCTTTGAAACGATTTAATTAGTTGCTTCGCAAAGTGATTCAGTTTTGAGCATTCGAAATAGCAAATGCATGGCGACATCTGCTGGTCAAAACCATGTAAATGCAACAAAAACACACATTACATCAATTAGAATTGACTTTTTCAAATTTTATTTATTTATTTATTTTATTTAAATATTGTACATATTAAAGGCGACCTATTATGCAAAAATCCCTTTAAACCCCAGTGAAGTGTCTGCAGCAGTGTGAATATCTCCAGCAGCCTCCAATGGTCAACAGTAATGAAGTGTATTTGTTCTAATCAGATGAAAACAGTCTGCAGAAACACTGTGATTGACATTCTCCCTTTGTACGTGTCATCAAAGGGGATAAGCCCCGCCCACTAGTGTCCATCTCTCCATCTCATTAGCATGTCCAGCAGCCCTGAGTGAGAAGCAGTCGTCTGTCCATTCGCCATTAGAGTGTTTGAGCTGCTGAAGATGATGTCAGCATAGACTAAGAGGAGATTTGTAGCTCCGTCCTCTCAGAGCACAATCTCATTTGCATTTAAAGCAACAGTCACCAAAACGCCACAATTAGGATCAAAGCCTGAAGGGGTCATTTTCAGAGAGCTGGAGAACATTATCTGTGTGCTCAAACTTCACTAACTTCAACATCACAATCTACATACTCTAGAGACGTCAGAGATGCATTTTACATCTTGTAAAAGGGGCAGAATATGTCGTCTTTAAATTCAAAGTAACCTATAGATGCACTTAACTTATCATCTAATACCATCATTAAATATTAACACACATTAAATGTGTTCTTTATCAATTTTCAAGGCTTATATATGGTTTGTTTTATGGTGGGCTATTCTAAACAAGACAAGAGACTAATAAATGATGTTCCTTTTCATAATACATTAAAACATCTACAAACTCATAAATGGAAATGAGGTCAGGGAAAAACTATTAAACATGCTAAACTATCAGCCTTAAAGACTATTAAAGATGCCACAGGGGTGCGATCTGAGTGAAGCCGCATGATTATTGTGGATTTTATAGGATTACACTGATCGCCCCCTAGTGGAGAATCATCACATTTTCTGAATATTTCAAAACACTTCTGATATAACAAAGCCATTTTTACTGAAGTTATGTCCACTTGATGTGTGCTCTGGAACCACTGATTTGAACAAAAGAAATGTTAAAGGTTTGGAAGTTTGATGAAGCTGCCTTCACTAGTGTGTATCTGTGTGTTTGAGATGCTGCAGTGAGGTGTGTTCTGCTGGTCTGAAACTCTTCTGTTGATCTGTAACCCTCAGCATGTACTGGTGTCGTTGGGTGATGTGGTTGTGGGCAGTGTCCCAGTAAACCTCAGCGATGGACAAACACACACTGTGAATGTGACAATGTCCGGCAATGACTCCGTGCTGGAGGTGGATGCTCAGCTCGCTCAGATGGAGATGATGGAGGGTGTTGACTCTCTGGATCTCACATCCTCATACAGCACCTTCATAGGGGGCATCCCAGGTAATGTCTCACATTGGTCTGGTATGGTCTCACATCCACCTCGCAATAGTGTCATAACAATCCCACATATTATTATGTTTCTGAAAGTTTGACATTTGTCTCAAATAAGTCTCAAATTAGTCTCATATGGTCTCAAATCAGCCTCGCAATGGTGTCATAACAATCCCACATATTATTATGTTTCCGAAAGTTTGACATTTGTCTCAAATAAGTCTCAAATTAGTCTCATATGGTCTCAAATCAGCCTCGCAATGGTGTCATAACAATCCCACATATTATTACATTCCCAAGAGTCTTTTGCCTCAAATAAGTCCTGTGTTAGTCTCTTTAGTCTCCTATAAGTCTCACATCCATCTCACAATAGTGTCACAACTATCCCACATATTCTTACATTCCCAAAAGTCTTACATTTGCCTTCAATTAATCTCAAATTAGTCTCATGTGGTCTCAAATCAGTCTCACATCCACCTCGCAATACTGTCATAACAATCCCACATGTTCTTATGTTTCGGAAAGTTTGACATTTGTCTCAAATAAGTCTCAAATTAGTCTCATATGGTCTCAAATCAGCCTCGCAATGGTGTCATAACAATCCCACATATTCTTACATTCCCAAGAGTCTTACGTTTGCCTCAAATAAGTCCTGTGTTAGTCTCTTTAGTCTTCCATCAGTCTCAAATCAGTCTCACATTCATGTTACAATAGTATCATATCAAGTCCCTCATATTCTTATGATAGATACATGCCGTATCATTTTAGTCATATATTAGTTCTACACCAGTCTTGTCTCTCATCAGTCTCATATTTATTATCAGTTATATGTTAGTCTCACATATTCTCATATTAGTCTTGTATTAGTCTCTCTTCAGGCTCACATTAGTATGTCATAATTGTTATTCTCACGTCATACTCATATTAGTCTGTCATCATTCTTGTATTATTCTCATTGTTATCAGTCTCACATCATCATATTAGATTCTCATAAGCCTCACATTAGTCTCACGTCATTCTCGCATAAGACTCATAGTTATTCTCTGATCAGTCTCACGTTTGTCTCATAACTCTAAATCTTGCATCAGTATTATATTAGCCTTTTATCAGTCTCACTTAACTTTTTTGATTAGTTTTATGTTAGCCCCACATCATTTTCATTTCTGTTTCTCATCAGTCTCATATTGTTCTCATAATTATCAATGTCACATCATCAAATTAGTCTCTCATTGGTCTCACATTAGTCTCTTATTGGCCTTATGTTAGTCTCACATCATTCTCATATAAGTCTCACAATTATTAGTCTTGCATCAGTCTCACATCATTCTCATATTAGTCTCATCAGTCTCATGTTAGTCTCACATCATTCTTACAAATCTTATATTAGTCTCACATCAGTCTCATATTAGTCTCATCAGTCTCATGTTTGTCTCAGATCATTCTCCGGAGTCTCATATTAGTCTGTTTTCTCACATCAGTCTCATATTAGTTTCATCAGTTCTAAGTTTGTCTCAGATCATTCTCATGAGCCATAAATTAGTCAATCATGAATATTGGTCTCACATCAGTCTTATATTAGTCTTATCAGTCTCATGTTTGTCTCAGATCATTCTCATGAGTCTCATATTAGTCTGTTTTCTCACATCAGTCTCATATTAGTCTCATCAGTCTTATGTTTGTCTCTGATCATTCTCATGAGTCTCATATTAGTCTATCGTCTCATATTAGTCTTATCAGTCTTGTTTGTCTCAGATCATTCTCATGAGTGTCATATTAGTCTATCGTCTCACAACAGTCTCATATTAGTCTTATCAGTCTTATGTATGTCTCAGATCATTCTCCGGAGTCTCATATTAGTCTATAATCTCAGATCAGTCTCATATTAGTCTTATCAGTCTTGTTTGTCTCAGATCATTTTCATGAGTCTCATATTAGTCTATCGTCTCACATCAGTCTCATATTAGTCTTATCAGTCTTATGTTTGTCTCAGATCATATTAGTCTATCGTAAATATTAGTCTCACGTCATTCTCATATTAGTCTCATCAGTCTTGTTTGTCTCAGATCATTCTTGTATGTCCCATATTAGTCTATTTTGATTATTGGTCTCACATCATTCTTATATTAGTCTCATCAGTCTTATGATAGTCTCACTTAATTCTCACAAATCTTGTATTAGTTTTTCATCAGTCTCATATTAGTCTATTATAATTATTAGTCTCATATCATTCTCGTATTAGTCTCATCAGTCTTATGCTAGTCTCACATTATTTTCATGTTAGTCGTATCAGTATTATGTTAGTCTCAAATCATTCTCATATTAGTCTCGTCACTCCACTTTAGTCTCACATCATTCTCATAAATCTTGTATTAGTTTTTCATGAGTCTCATATTAGTCTATGATAATTATTAGTCTCATTAGTCTTATGCTAGTTTCATATTAGTCTAACCATAATTATTAGTCTCACATCATTCTCATACAAGTCTCATCTGTTTCACATTGAACTTGTGTGAACACTGAACTGCAGTATCATCACTCTTTCCCCTGCAGTTTCTGAGAAGGCCAGTAGTTCAGTGTTATATTCTCCAACTAGAGCAGAATCTGCTGCTGGTAATGTACATTATTGTGTTGTTCCGCGTGTCTGTGCAGATGTTTCTCTGGTGTCGAGCCCCGTTTCTGCCTTCTTCACGGGCTGCATGGATGTGCGAGTGAATGGGCAGCTGCTGGATGTGGATGAGGCCCAACACAAACACAACGACATCCGCTCTCACTCCTGCCCTCTGGTGGACACACTGCAATAACAGCGGCTTTACCCTCATCTGGATCCACTGAGCGGTTCCTATAGGCCTTAATAAAGCCAGATGCACAACACACACACAAACACAGCACAGCCGAGACGCCACACACACTCATGTATTACTCACTGATGCTTCCATTAGACCAATCCAACACAAGCTACTGAGAGTGTGCTGTAAAATACTGTAACTGTACATATGCCAGTGTAAAATGCTTTAGAGGACTAAAAACACCCAACCGCCATAACAGGCCTGGAGAGGCTTGATGTAGGTGCTCTTCATCATCATTATCGTTCAGTTTGAGCGGGAGGTTTTCTAGTCCCTCATTTGTTTTTTAATCTTGTTTTTATTGTTGAAATTGTTTTATATTTTTGTTCATGTTTGTTCGCTCTGTGTGTGAGACTGAAACGCTTGTTGAAGACAAATAAAGTTGAATGTTGTTATTATTATATTGAATTCTGTCTTTTAAATCCATGGACATTCACAGAGAAACAAAACTATATAAATGAAACTGATAGAGGAACATGATGGATTCAGTCTTCATCAATTCTTGACAAAAGAATAAATGAATACAAGTTCCTGTCACTGCGGCTGCTCCTCAAACTCTACTAAACTCGTCTGTTTCCACATGCATTTTATTGAATATAACAGAATGAGAAAATCATGATGAAACTATAAATACATTTTATTAGACGAGCGGTGGTTTTGTGCAGTTAAACCT